ATTATGCTGCATGATTTTACAGAACTTTTATTTGAACAAGACGAGACTTGTCACTTGATAACCTATTGATGTAAAAATGCTGCGATGCTATACTGACTATATACACTATACTATACCGTAGTACAGACTATACTATGCTATACTATACTGTACTACAGATTATATTACACTAGTTTATACTAAACTAGAGTACAGATTATACTATACTGTACTACAAACTATTCTAGACTATACTGTACTACAGACTATACTGTACTACAAGCTATATTATTCTAGACTATACTGTACTATAGACTATATTATTATACTATATTAGACTATACTGTACTACAGACTATACTATTCTATACTGTACTACAAACTATACTATTCTAGACTATACTGTACTACAGAGTATATTATTCTAGACTTTTCTGTTCTACAGATTATACTATATTAGACTATACTGTACTACAGATTATCCTATATTAGACTATACTGTACTACAGACTATACTATTCTAGACTATACTGTACTACAGAGTATATTATTCTAGACTTTTCTGTTCTACAGATTATACTATATTAGATTATACTGTACTACAGATTATCCTATATTAGACTATACTGTACTACAGACTATACTATTCTATACTGTACAGATTATACTTTACTACAGACTATACTATACTATACTATTCTGTACTACAGACTATATTATTCTAGACTATACTGTACTACAGATTATACTATACTAGACTATACTGTACAACAGACTATACTATTCTAGACTATACAGATTATACTATACTAGACTAATATTTCAAAATATATTGGAAAGGGGAATTCCTTCATGAACCTCTGAGAGAGGACCTAGAGACTGAATCTCTCTCTGTTCAACTTTCGTTTTCTTCTATTAAAAGTTATGAGCCTAAGAGAGACTTTCTATCTGAGACGAGGCGAGAAGTTTCGTAACGAACGACTAACGATCAATTCTTGTTTGCATAAGGATTGACGAAGAACGACGGGGGACATTTTTAATGTCAAGAGTTAGTGGAACGTCGTTCCAGTTACTCTTTGACGCGGTAAATCGAGTCCAAACAAACTTCGAACGAAGAAAGAGACGAAGAGTGGTCCACTGCCGTTTCTGGCTCTCCTTGACTCCGATACTTCGATATTCATCACTTTATGGTTCTACGTTCCACGTTCCTGCGAAGACTTTTACTACTTTCAGTGGAAGAAACTCCTTCTTCTTCTTCTTCTTCAGTGATCAATTCAACGCTCGATTTTTCTAAAAGAACGCGACAAAAAACTAGAAATTCTTGAACGTATTCCACGACTGTGGAAACACGCAGAATCGACGAGTTTCGAGGACGATTTTGAAACGAGCACGATGCTATTGGTTCTTTGGCAATTCAGAATCAATCATCCTTTAGCTAGTAAAAAATAATACAACGCGAGTACAAAGTATCCAGGGTATACACCTCGTTTCCTCCATCTTTTTTTACATCTGTTTACAACTTGTAACGCAAAACGTATTTACTAACTATTGATATTTAGATTATTGACACTTTTATTACGAGAGTCGACATAACTGATCATTTCGACAGAGCTTGATTATAAATCATTCGATCGAATAACGAACGAGTTATTTAAATATTCTATACTATAAGTAATGTCGTTTCTTTATGTATAAAATTTCATTTTATTTAAGAGTTAATACATGATAATTAATACAAAATAATACAAATAATTTTAATACAATTTATAATACAATTGTAATATAATTTAAGAGTAAGCGCATTAAATATTAATATACGTATTTAACTAGAATATAGGTTATGATAAGTTAAATTATTGTCACTAGATGGCAATATTTATTAAATTTGAAGCAAATGAGTAGTGCATAGTTTTTAAACATAGTTCACTGACTTGAATCGAAAAGATCGATTGCAGATGGAATCGAATTCAATAGTGAAATGCTATTTGACAATTCTGTTAGAACTGAACGGGTTTAAGGTTATGTTTCTGAACAGGAAGTTTACCGAGGTCACTGACTACGATGTAAGAATTAATTAGTTGTCTTTATATCCAGAGGTCAAGTTGTTGATGGCTGTTGGTTAAATCGATGACAGCGGAATTCCAAATCGATATATATTATTTTTAACATTGTCACAGTGTCACAGAAGTCTCAAAGCGTGTATTTCAAACAACATGTCTCTCGACGATGTTCTTTTCCAAACTTCCAACCCCAATAAAGCACGAGGCGCCAAAAATTTTGACGATTTGACGAATTTCCAATTTCTCCAGTTTTCAATTTTCCTAATTTTCAATTTTTTTAATTTCCAATTATTCCAATTATCAATTTTTCTAATGTCCAATTATTTCAATTTTTCTAATTTCCAATTATTCCAATTTTCAATTTGTTCAATTTCCAATTTTTCTAATTTCCAATTTTTCTAATTTCCAATTTTCCTAATTTTCAATCTTTTTCAATTTCCAATCCTTTCAATTTCCAATTTTTTTGCAATTTTCAATTTCTTCAATTTCCAGTTTTTTAAAATTTCCAATTTTCCTAATTTTCAATTTTTTAAATTTCCAATCCTCTCAATTTCCAATTTTCCTAATTTTTAATTTGTTAAATTTCCAATTTTCCTAATTTTTAATTTGTTAAATTTCCAATTTTCCTAATTTTCAATTTTTGAAATTTTCAATTTTCCTAATTTTCAATTTTTGAAATTTCCAATCCTTTCAATTTCCGATTTTCCTAATTTTTAATTTGTTAAATTTCCAATTTTCCTAATTTTCAATTTTTCAAATTTCCAATGTCCAATTTCCAATTTTTCCAGTTTCTCTAATTTCCAATTTTTTTAAATTTCCAATTTTTCTAACCACTTTCCATTTCCCAACTTCTAATTTTCTTCAATCTCCAAATTTTTCCATTTTCTGCGCGAGCTAATCGGAGAACGACGTCTCGACGAGCTGTAGCTCAGGCGTTGACGTTAGAACTGGGGAGGGAACTGTTACTTTCGTCGATGGATAGCGGCGAAGCTAGTTGAGCGTTCGGTTGGAGAAAGTAACGGGGCAACATCGCCTGTTGCGCAATGGTTCGCGTTACATTGGTTGAAATAATTTCCACGTAATCAAACCGGCTCCAGCTACCTGGAGTCGTGGATTGTGGATTCCCCGTTGACCTTGGAATTCGGGCGACCTTGGATTAACAGAGATGACGTGACGCAGCGCGGAGATCTGCCTCGAGTGAAGTTTTGGGACGACTTTGAGTTGGCCAAATAATTAGAAACAATATAGAAACGTTTCATTCCCCACGATGAAGAAAAATCTGCTTTCGCAAGATAATAACACGTGAACACGACGAGGAACAGTTCCGAGTTTGATCAAATATGCGCAAGTTGCGCGCATTCCTGCGGCTTGCCGAAAATCGATGACACCTGGGATCCTATTACGCGTCGAATACGAGAATTGGCGGACAGAAACGGAATTTTCTTTTGTTCGGACAAGCATTTGCGAAATCGAATATTCCTCAGTGAAGGTGAAAAAAGAAATGAATGAATGAGGGGAAAAAAAAATGAACAGATGTCCACGTCAATTAATCGAATTTAAATTATCTTCGACGATTTGAAGAAACGATAGTTTCGTATAATTTTCGTCAATTTGACGATACCAATCTCCTAGCAAGTACAACAGACTACAAAATTTCCGTACAAAGTTCGAAATGTCAGTTTTTCCTCGAAAAGTTTCCAATTTTAATCGTTTGTTCGTTTGTTCACCGATTCGTTCGTTCGTTTGTTTTTGTTAGAACAAAAATGAGAAACAATATGAAGTAAATAGCAAATTAGGAATGAATCTAACAATATAAAATAGAGAAACAAAATCTAAATAATAAAATAATAAAAATAGGAATACAAAATTAGGAATAAATCTAATAATACAAATATAAAATAGAAGTAGAAATAGAAATACACATATATAAAATAAAAATAGGAATATACATATATAAAATAGAAATAGAAATAGAATTAAAAATATAATGAAATAGAAATAGAAATATACATATATAAAATAGAAATAGAAATAGAAATATACATATATAAAATAGAAATAGAAATAGAAATATACATATATAAAATAGAAATAAAATAGGAATAGAAATATAATAAAATAGAAATATAAAATTTGAATTGGGAATAATTTCAAGAGTATAAAATAGGAATATAAATTAGAAACAAATCCACCAATACAGAATCTAAATTAGCAATAAATCTAACAATATAAAATAAAAATAAGAATATAAAACAACATAAAATACGAATGTGAAACAATATAGAACAGAAATATAGAATCATAAAATAAATCTGATAGTATAAAACAGGAGTACAAACAATATAAAGTAGGAACATAAAGCAACATGAAATAGAAACATAAAAGATATTAAACATAGAGAATAAAAGATATAATAGATAAAATAAAGATATATAAATATCTAAGATATATAGATAAAATAAAGATATATAGATATATCTAAGATATATAGATAAAATAAAGGTATATAGATATTTAAGATATATAGATATCTAATATATATAGATAAAATAAAGGTATATAGATATCTAATATATATAGATAAAATAAAGGTATATAGATATATCTAAGATATATAGATAAAATAAAGATATATAGATAGATATAAGATATATAGATAAAATAAAGATATATAGATAGATATAAGATATATAGATAAAATAAAGATATATAGATAGATCTAAGATATATAGATAAAATAAAGATATATAGATATCTAAGATATATAGAATATAATGAAGATAAGGTATAAAGAAAATAAGAATATAAGAAATACGAGTAGATGAAACAGAACGATATTAAACTCATGAAACAGAATTATCGTTCGAATTTAAAGGGTCGTTCACCCTCGGTTAATTGGCGATGACGAAATCTGCCTTGTACGATTTTTATCGATATTGCTGACACGCTCCTGACTCGCGAGCCTTTGGACGCTCTATACCGAGCACCGGAGTTATTTCACGTCGGTTGCATCGAGTGCACGGACCATTGGCAAGCAGCGACTTAACCGGGGGACGTCTCGAGGTTGCCTCGCCGCCGATATCCACGGGCCATCGAATGGAAACGATCCTCAGCAAGGAGAAACGCTCTAGAGACCTTGCCGAGACTGGTGAGTATCCTCTCTTCCGTGCAGAAGAGCCACCGTGCCGAAAAGCGAATGATCGCGAATGATGTAAAACGTCGTGAACATCGTTTTCGACGATTCTTTCGTTCCCTTTTAAACTTCTCGTTCTCCACTGAGATTTTTATTATTATTATTAGCTCGATCTCGGGTTCTTCTTCGTTTCAATCTGTTCTCTTTTCACTCAGGTTGTCACGAACCTCTTCATCGTGGACGCGGCGTACGATTCGAAGATGGAGGACGTGCCTATTATAACGAAGGATCAATGTCGCGTGGATTTAACGAGTTCCAAAAATGGTACAAAAAAAAAAAAAAAAAAAAAGAAAAGAAAGGAGAAAGAAAATTTTGTTTGAAAAAATGTTTACGTGTTGTTGTTGCGATTTGGTTTTCAGAAAATGCGACGGAACACGACGGAGACTTGACCGAGTACAGACACTGGAGTTTCATCAAACGTCACAAACTGATATATTTGGTCCAAGGTTTGATACTTGTGTCGATACTGTCTTTCGCTGGAATAATGATATATCTGAGCGTTGCTTGTGGTACGTGAATTTTCGTGTATAATGCAACATTACGCGTTTCATGCTTATCTTTCATTGTGAATACGTACGTTGAAGTCTAAATGTTAACTTTAACTAAACATGTATAAACATGTATAATATATTTAATTATATACGTTTAATTAATATAAAAATTAATAATATATCTCATTATATACGTTTAATTAATATAAAAATTAATAATATATCTCATTATATACGTTTAATTAATATAAAAATATATCTAATTATATACGTTTAATTAATATAAAAATTAATAATAAATAACATACATTAATAATTAATAATATATTATTAATAAATTATATATATTTAATTAATATAAGTTTCACATTAATTTAAAAATTTTTAAATCCAAGGCTATTTATATAAACATATTCAAATGTATGTTTTCATGAGCCACGTAATGAAATAGAGAAAAATACACGTTTTCTATTAAAATTTCAATGATCTTGAAAAAAAAACATTAAAAAGTGATTTTTCTTCTTTAAATAGTTCTACTCGATTCGTCTCTTTAGTACCATCAAAATGGTCAAAATGACCAATTCATAATTTTAAACAGACGTGAAACAATGCATTTTTTTAAGGATTTAAACGATTTTTTGTAAAATGTGTAAAGAATATTACAAAGTCCACTGTATTATATAGTTCTTGTACCTTTTTTCTTTCTTTACTTTAATGTCTCTAATCACTAAAATTAATAATTTAGTTATTGGTTAAAGTTGTTAATAATTTATAAAGTTATTAACTAATTTACAAAGTTATTAAAGTTATTAATAAAGCTATTAGTTTTAGTAATTAATAATCAACACTCCTCAAGTAATATTAATTACCAAAGCTAACAACTAAATTATTAAATTAACCAATTGACTAAATTACAAAATTATGAAAATTATTAATGACTAAAACTTAATAATCAAATTATTGATCATTGAAATTAATTACTCCATTAATAATTCAGTTATTAATATTTAGTAATTAACATTTTTCAAATAATATTATTAAATTATTAACTTATAAAAGTTAATAACGATATTATTAAATATTATTAATTAATTATTAACTTATATAATACAAATACTATTACTAAATTATTAACTTATAAACTTATAACAAATAATATTACTAAATTATTATTAAATTTACAGAATCTTCAAATAATATTACTAAATTATTAACTACTGAAATTAATTACCAAACTATCACAATTACCAAAATTATTAATCGAAATCAACTACGTTGCAATTTCGGACAGGTTACATCTACGCAGCTCGCCGAATAGACGAGATTAACGAACGAGGGCGTCTGACGATCGACGCTCCCTCTCTGGAAGATCGGACGACAAATCCAATCCTCCAAGACCTGTACCGACACTTTTACAAGAGCCAACTTCACGAACGAAATAATAGCAGCGAGTTGCGATCGATAGTACCGATGGATCGGTCTCGTCGGGATCTCAACAAGTTGGAAAGTCCCTGCAAGCTGAACATGGAGTACTGCAAGAAGCTGATCAACTCGATGTGGAGTATCGCGAGCATCGTGAACAACAGCATGCCGCATCTGCAGAGTTTCCTGAAGAACTTCCCCGCGGAAACGACGCAGAACGCGACGAAATCGAAGTTCGTCGAGCTGGTCGAGTGTCTGCAGTGCAAGAACGACTCGATCACGTTCATCGACGACACCGGCGCGGACAATCTCGCGCATTATCCGCGAACGATGCTGGAACATTCCGACAACAGTCAGATTCGCAACAACGTTGGTATAGTCAGCGATCTGTTGAACGACGAGAGACACGGTGAGGAGGAGAATTTGAGAGCTAATTTAGAAATAGAACCGACAACTATGAAGACGACTGTGGCTGGGGAGAATGTTGAAACTACGTCTGAGAGTGGTTGGAAAGCGGATACAGGGGAGATACAAACCACTTTGAAAACGTGAGTATTGATGGAACGATGCGTTTGAGAACTGAAATAAATTAAAATTGAATTTGAAACTTGCAACGGATCGTTATTCGGACTTTTTTTTTTTTATCGATTTAGAATTGTAGAGTTGTTTGAGAACTCGAACAAGTTGAGATAGAATTCGACACTTGTAATGGGTCGTTTCTTTGAGTTTTACATAGAAGGATCGTTAGTTGGATTTTTTTCTTTTTTATCAATTTAGAATTGTAGAGTTGTAGAGTTGCAGAGTTATAAAGTTATAGACCTGTAGAGTTGTAGAGTTATAGAGTTATGAAGTTGTAGAGTTATAGAGAATTATAAAGCTGTAGAGAGTTTCATAGCTGTAGAGTTTCTAAGTGTTTCAGAATTGAAGGGTTCTAGAGTTTTAAAATTGCACAACTATAGAATTTTAGAAGTTTAAAATTTTAGAATTTTAGAATCTTGGAGTTTGGGAATTTTAGAACTTTAAAATTCTAGAATTCTAGATGTTTAGATCTCTAGAATTTCAGAGTTTTAGAGTTTTAGAGTTTTAGAGGTTTAGAGTTTTAGAGTTTTAGAGTTTTAAAGTTCTAGAGTTTTAGAGTTTTAGAGTTTTAGAGTTTTAGAGTTTTAGAGTTTTAGAGTTTTAGAGTTTTAGAGTTTTAGAGTTTTAGAATTTTAAAGTTTTAGAGTTTTAGAGTTTTAGACTTTTAGACTTTTAGAGTTTTAGAGTTTTAGAAGCCTCAGATTTCTGGAATTCTAGAATTTCAGAATTTCAGATTTTTAGAATTGCAGAATTAAAGAACTTTAGAATTTTCATTGATATACGCTGCTTATCACGACACGACGCATACTCGTTACGTTAGCAAATGGCAATTTTATCAACTACAGTCCGTCCCCGAGTGAAACGATGGAACACAGCGACAAGAACGTAGTCACGGAAGCGACGGTGATTAACGCGAGGACGAGTATACAAACTACACCGAAGGCGGAAGATACGACGACGAGAATGGACGAGCAAACGATCGGAATCGGCGATACTAACCGGTCCGTGGTCACCGTGAACGTGACAGCCAAACCAGACGACAACAACGTGACGAAAATTACGATCGACCCGGTGCATCATTCGGTGCATACTTTGAGTCAAGGTCAGCAGCCGTTAATGAACGAGCAAAAGGAAACGCAAGGTGAAATAATAATCCTCATAATAACACAAATAGATGCGTTATTGTCACTTTCTTACCGACTAACATGTCGATTCCAAAATTACAAAATACAATAATCCCCAGTTAAGCGTCTGCCGCTGTCCCCACTAACACGCTACCTTACCATAACGAGCAATATATACAGGATGATTCACATATATACAATAGATCATTCACCTGAAATAACTTTTAAATTACACGTCAAATGAAAAATGAAAATTACGCGTTAAATGAAAAATTGTGTAATACAAAAGTTGTATGGTTGTAAGAAAGGCAAAATACCGTGTGTCAATTTTTTTTTATGGGTTTCGAAATTTTCAACGTCATCTTTATTTTTTCCCAATTGAGAAATTTTTTCTTTTTAATCATATAATATATATATTTTTATATAATTTTTTATCATATAATATATATATTTTTATATAATTTTTTATCATATAATATATATATTTCTTTTATCATAAATCAAAAGAGAGTTCTAAGCAAAAAGGTATTAAGCCACACTGGTTCCAAGCACTGTGCTTTAAATTACGAAAACACTGAACATTCGCAGCGAGAGATGCCGAGAGTTGGCCGACGTTCCGCGACGTGCAAGGTAGAATCGTCAACAAAGGGAACATAGACTCGGGTCCAACGGCAGAGACGATGAAGTCCAGCCAACAGTTGCAACTGACGCCGACGATGTCCTGGGTGCCGTACCAAGTCTGTTTCTACGGAACAGACGCGCACAATCCGACGAAACAGTCGACCGCAGGTCAAGCGATGTATTCAGCGTCGTCTCCAGCAATTCCGTATCCGCCCGCGATGTCGCAGCTGCGTCAAGGCTTCCAGAACTTCAATCAACCGTCGGGTTACATACAGGTTCAAGCGACTGCCCAGCTGTTGCCGATGCAACCAAGCCTTGGGAACTTTGGGCCGTCGGTTGGTCAGAGAATCGGTTTGCCGACTGGTCCCGCGATTGGCAATTATCCGACTTTCCCCAGTTCGGGAGGGATGCTCCCTAGCGCCGCCGCAAATTCTAACGGCAAAACGCCGTACTACTGCACCTACATTCCCGCTCCGACGTTCCAGTTCCCGCCGATTCCTGGGGTACCAGATTACCAGAGATCTTCCGTTCCATACGAGGAAGCGGAAGAAACGGACAACTCGGTGGAGAGTAAGGGGGACGAGAAGAATTTTCTGTTTGGTAAGAAGGTTTTTGAGATGTAAGAAATATCTTTTGCGACGATGCGAATAATACTTTTCGCCTAATATGAACGGTATCGAAAGGTAATAGTATTTAAATTATTAAATATCAAGTGTTAAACAACTAGTAAGGATATTCTTTTTCCAAGGTCATTTTTTTTCGGCGTTTTCAAGGTTATTAATATTTCTTTTTTTCATACAAGTATATGTTCTTTTCTCTTGTATCGTGTAGCTGGTAAAAAAAGTACATTCAGGTAAGTGAAAAAACACGACCGTGAAAGTTTAAGTTTTAAACTCTTGGCCAAGCTCTGAGAGATAAATTTCTACGTAAAACTTAAATTTTCATATCTGAACATATTTTTCTACCAGTTACGCGATACAATAATAATAATAATAAAGAAATACATAGTTGTGTTAAAAAAAAAGAAAAGAGCAATGATTTTGAAAAAGATACTCTTATCCAGTTCACTCGATATCATTCGTGTTGATGCAAAAATTATTTTTTGCATCGTCACAATTCGAAATGATATTCAGGATTGTTTCACTTGAGGCCCCTTTTAAATGGATCACCCTGTATATATTTGGAATTGAGAAGATCGATGAAAATCGACAAAGTCTGAGCGAATCAAGTTGACATGGATGGTGCGTACACAGGTACATGTCCCTCGAGTATGATTCAATGTGGTGATAATGGCCGATGTATAGCGAGATCGCAGTGGTGCGACGGCATAGTGGATTGCAACAACGCCATTGACGAGACGAGCTGCTCCTGCAGAGAGCGGATTTCGCAGGAACGACTCTGCGACGGGTATTTCGACTGCCCGTACGGCGAAGACGAACTGGAATGTTTGGGTAAAGATATTGTCGTCTTTCTTTTTCTAACTTCAGCATTTTTAAATCGAAGAAGCTTGAGAAGCTGGAGAAGAGTTTCGAAACGCCGAAACCCTGTAGGCTTGAAGTTCGAATATTTTTCGCGTGCGCGTATTGTTTGTGCATTACAGAACTCTGCTTCATGCGTTCGTGCATAACAGAATTCTGTTTTATCGATCGTTTGTAAGAGAACTCTGCTTTATTGATCGTTCATAACAGAACTCTGCTTTATTAACATGCAAATACCTGCTGAATATTTGACACACAGATAGAATGCGAATGCCAATGCAATATAAATAGCAAATGAAGAATCAAAGAATGAAAGTTCCCATATTAATTCATATTTTGTATGGAATATTTCGTGCCAGATGGCAGCAGTGGCTGCAATTTTACTTTCCAGTCGAAACCGTTTTATCCACAGAAACTGTATTTCTTCAGCGCGCGATACAAAATCCTCCCTTCCGCCGTAATTTCAATTTTCGCATTTCAGGTTGTCCAAAGAATACCTTCAGCTGCAACGATTGGCAACAACAGTACACGACTGTCAATTGCGTGCCGTTTTCCCAACGTTGCGACGGAGTGCGTCAGTGTGCCAATGGAAAGGACGAAACGGACTGCAACGTTCTCACTCCCTCGTACAACGAAGGGAATAAAGTAACAATCTCTCTAAACTAGGCACTAGATTCGCGTTTCTCGCGAGTAACGTACGATTTGCTACATCGTATGTTTCATACGTGTTCCTCAGGTATTCACGATCGGTTACACCGAAGGATACCTCCACAAGAACTACAAAGGACAATGGTACCCGGTGTGCACAGCGATCGATGCCTGGGTGAAGGATGCCTGCGTCTCCGAAATCGGTTTGGAAACCAGGTATTACAATCTGAAGGAATTTTTTAGAATTTTGCGTCTCTAAAGTTGAAAGGATAGGACCGTGGGATCGAATTATTTATCCTAGAAGAGAAATCTGGGTTTAAATAAGCACACCTTTAAATTACAATTCTAATAATTATTTCCTAACAATTATTTTTTAATAATCATTGCCTAACAATTATTTTTTAATAATTATTTTCCAATAATTATATTTTAATAAATATTTTCTAATAATTATTTTTTAATAATCGTTTACTAACAATTATATTTTAATAATTATTTTCCAATAATTATATTTTAATAAATATTTTCTAATAATTATTTTTTAATAATCGTTTACTAACAATTATTTTTCAATAATTATTTTCCAATAATTATATTTTAATAAATATTTTCTAATAATTATTTTCCAATAATTATATTTTAATAAATATTTTCTAACAATTATTTTCCAATAATTATATTTTAATAAATATTTTCTAATAATTATTTTTTAATAATCATTGCCTAACAATTATTTTTTAATAATTATTTTCCAATAATTATGTTTTAATAAATATTTTCTAATAATTATTTTTTAACAATCGTTTCCTAACAACTATGTTTTAATAATTATTTTCCAATAATTATATTTTAATAAATATTTTCTAATAATTATTTTTTAACAATCGTTTCCTAACAACTATTTTTCAATAATTATTTTCCAATAATTATATTTTAATAAATATTTTCTAACAATTATTTTCCAATAATTATATTTTAATAAATATTTTCTAATAATTATTTTTTAATAATCGTTTCCTAACAACTATTTTTCAATAATTATTTTCCAACAATTATATTTTAATAAATATTTTCTAATAATTATTTTTTAATAATTTATAATAATTATTTTCTAATAATTTTTAACAATTATTTTCCAATAATTTCCAATAATTATTCTTTCTCGCAGCGACTCTGCCGAGATAACGATCCGCTCCATGCCACGGAACGTGTACCAAGGCCCCTATCTGACCCAAGTGAACAATCAATTGAAGTTGATTCCCTCGTGCATGAACAGAGCGGTGTTCGTGCGTTGTGCACGGTTCCCTTGCGGAACTACCGTTTTCTCTCGCGAGGACACCATGCGACCTCACGCGCTGGAGAAGGAGGATCAACAGCCGTTGCAGGTGGCCGATCAAATCGTCTGGCCACTGTACGTCAACAAGATAGATTCGAAACGCGGCGAGAACGAAAAGAGGGTGGCCAGGGATCAGGACGACATGGTTGGCTCGCAGTTGCGCGTCGTCGGTGGTCGCGCGAGTCACCCGAAAGCGTGGCCGTTTCTCGTGGCCGTTTACAAGGAAGGGATTTTCTACTGCGGCGGTGTGATCCTGAGTGAACTTTGGGTGCTCACGGCTGCTCACTGTCTCGACGGGTAGGTATTGATGAACCAAGTTATTGATGAAAAATTCAGTCACCGATGGTACACAGCTAATTTACAATATACTCAAAACTCAGAACCACAAACGTTACAGTTACATTTAAAAAGGAAAAGATCACCTTGAAATCTCGCAAGCGTGACAAGATTCGTAGCTCCCCCTCCCCTAAATATCTCCCTCTAAATGACGTAAGTTTTATTTCTCTGTAGTGAATAATTTTCACCACTTGCGCTGGCAACTGCGATTTGCGGACCATAACGAGCGACCAAACTCTTTCTTTCTCGCTTTCTTTTTCGTTTTGAACTCGTCGGTCACTGGATAGAAATTATTGAGAATTAATAGATTTATTATTTTGTTTTACTTAAATACATTTTATTTTAGTATTTAGTAAATACACGTAATATAATAAATATATTTTATTATATTTTCACTTTACTTAAAACTGATTATATAAAAATTTTACTTACTATTTATTTGTATTTATTAATTTTATTATATTTTTGTATTTTACTTTAATTACTTTTACTTTTGTAATTTTTGTATATTTCACTTTACTTAAAACTGATTCTATAAAAATTTTACTTACTATTTATTTATATTTATTATATTTTTGTATTTTACTTTAACTTTTACTTTTGTATTTTACTTTTTCAATTTTTGTATATTTCACTTTACTTAAAACTGATTATATAAAAATTTTACTTACCATTTATTTATATTTATTAATTTCATTATATTTTTGTATTTTACTGTAACTTTTACTTTTGTAATTTTTGTATATTTCACTTTACTTAAAACTGATTATATAAAAATTTTACTCATTATTATATTTATATACAATAAATATATTTTATTATACATTTTATTCTACTTAAAACTGAGCAAAAATTGCAATTTTGGGACAAAGAATTCTCGACGCGTGCGTAGCACGCCGTTCCAGCGCAAGAGGTGAAAACATTCTCGTAACATCCCTCATATTTGAGAAAGAAACTTCATGTTCAAAGACTTGTTCCGAAGCTCTGAATCGTGTGTTTGAACACGTAGCTACGCGGGCCAGTATTTCGAGATCCAGGCGGGTGTGCTCCGGCGAAACTCGTTCTCGCCGATGTCGCAGTTCAGGAGAGCCAGGTACATGATACTGCACTCGCAGTACGACCCGAGAAGCATGAGGAACGACATCGCGATGATCATGCTGGACGATCCTCTGCGATTCAATCGATGGGTGCGGCCGATCTGTCTGCCTGGGCCGGATCTACTGGGGCCCATGTGGAGGAACAAGCCGGAGCCCAACTCCACTTGCATAGCTATCGGTTGGGGCGCTGTCAAAGAGTTCGGAGAAAATCGTAAGACAGACATTTTCTTTCTTTCACGTTCTCAGGTTGAAGTTTCGCGCGCGGGCGAATCTTGTCACGTGATTTTCGTGGAACGATTTTTCAGCGGATCATCTGAGGGAAGTGGAGGTGCCGATACTGGCGAGTTGCAAGTACGAAGATGACCGGAACGACGCCGTCATTTGCGCCGGGTATCCTCAAGGAGGTCGTGACGCTTGTCAAGGAGACAGCGGCGGTCCTCTACTGTGCAGGTAATAATTTCTCAAGGCTCAAGTTGAAATTCAACGCTACCAACGACGAATATTTGCTAAATGGGGAATTAAATTTCTAAATAAGCAAGGAAATTAAAAATTAAGTGAAAATACAGGGAGAAAGTTAATGATAAAATAAAAGGACACGAGCTTCTGTTGATACTTTAGAAATCACTCGAGTGTTTAAAAATATACCAGTATAGCAACGATATATATTCGAAATCACCAACTAGATAAGCGTAACTACTTCCGAAAGCCACGGCCGAGTCAAAATATACACGACGACGCAACTTTTATTTTATCTGTGTTGGTCTCACTGTCAGCATAACAGCATCGACGAAAATAATTGAAACGAAATGCTTCGTCGAGCATGACATAGAACTTTTTGAAACCAAATGTATTGTCGACGTAAGACAATTAGAATGAAACAATTAAAATAATTAAAATAATTGAAATAAAACAATTAAAATAATCATAATTAAAACAATTAAAATAATCACCATCGAAACAGTAAAACAATTAAAATAATCACCATCGAAACAGTAAAACAATTAAAATAATCACCATCGAAACAGTAAAACAATTAAAATAATCATTATCGAAACAGTAAAAAAATTAAAATAATAATATTTTAATCGAAACAGTTAAAATAATTAAAATAATTACAATCGAAACAGTTAAAATAATTGAAATAAAACAATTAAAATAATCACAATAAAAACAGTTAAAATAATTAAAATAAAACAATTGAAATAATCACAATCACAACAGTTAAAATAATCAAAATAATCACAATCGAAACAGTTAAAATAATTAAAATGAAACAATTAAAATAATCACAATCGAAACAGTTAAAATAATTAAAATAAAACAATTAAAATAATCACAAGCGTTAGTTATCGTGTCCAAGTGTTCAATTTTCCTAACCGATTCGTAGAAATCCGTACTCGGAATCGCAGTGGTACGTAGCAGGCGTAATCAGTCACGGGGAAGGCTGTGCTCGACCGAACGACCCGGGTGCCTACACAAGGGTCAGCTACTTCGTCGACTGGATTCGAGAGATTTCCAGTGAGTTCATATCTCTTTGATCTTTCGAGAGCGACGAAAAATCAGCCAAGATATCGGATGATTGGCCACCAACGTATGCTGAATTTTCAGGTGGTCGGGGGGCGTCTCCTCTGAAACGCACCCCTCTGCAGAAATGTTCGGGATTCAGTTGCGACGGAGGCCTGGGCAAGTGTTTGCCGATCGAGGCCCGTTGCAATCGGATAGTCGACTGTCTCGGCGGCGAGGATGAGATGAATTGTAACGGCCGTTATCCGCTTTACGAGCAGTCGGACAACACCACGGCCGATTTTGAACGGCGGATTGTTTCGACAACGATGGACGTGGACGTGTCTACGATGTCTAACGAGATCGTCACCGGTAGTAAGTTTTCAATTCGATGTGCCGTATGAACTGGATCTAATTAAGTAATATTTTACGATCTGATTGAATAACAATTGTTCCAGTTAAATTAATAATATTTTACGATCTGTCGTTGAAATTATTTCTAGAGCTCGCGATATCCAACAACTTGATCCACCATGCGACCGATAAATCAATGTCTATGGAACAGGAAATGAAGTCCATGGACGATAAATTGACCTCGACAACTTCTGGCCTCGAAAATCGGCCATCGTCAACCCCAACGACGACCCCCGCGATATTCATTTGTACAAGGTACTCTAAATGAAAAGAAACGCACCTTGCACATTTCGAGAATATTTCATTTCATTTCTAAGAATATCGGAACGCATCCTCCGAAAGTTCATCGACGATTCGCGGTGGTAAAATGGTAAAAGAGAAAAGAATCGTGAAATTGTCAAAATTCGCAGGCTGCTTCAAACGATTCCAATCGAAAAGAGATGCGACAGAGCGGTCGACTGCGAGGACGGCACCGACGAAATGAATTGCACCTGCAGGGACTTTTTAGAGGTTTTGAAGCCAAGCGCCGTGTGCAACGGTTACGCAGACTGTGACGATCTCACAGACGAACAGAACTGCGGTGAGTCCTCTCTCTACTATATGATACTTTGCTATAACTATATCATTTACTATAAGCTCGACTAGAACCAGTTAATCCTCTAATAATTAATTGGTGAGCCCTCTCTTTACTATGCTATACTTTACTATAACTATATTATTTACTGTAACCTCGACTGTAACCAGTTAATCCTCTAATAATTAGCGAGTCCTCTCTTTACTATATAATACTTTACTATAACTGTATCATTTACTATAAGCTCGACTATAACCAGTTAATCCTCTAATAATTAATTAGTGAGCCCTCTCTCTACTATGCTATATTTTACTATAACTATATTATTTACTATAACCTCGACTATAACATCTATAATTAATTGGTGAGTCCTCCCTTTATTATACTATACTTTGCTATAACTATATTATTTACTGTAACCTCAACTGTAACCAGTTAATCCTCTAATAATTAGTGAGTCCTCTCTCTACTATATGATACTTTACTATAACTGAATCATTTGCTATAATCTCGACTACAATCAATTAATCCTCTGATAATTAATTGGTGAGCCCTCTCTTTACTATGCTATACTTTACTATAACTATATTATTTACTGTAACCTTGACTGTAACCAGTTAATCCTCTAATAATTAGCGAGTCCTCTCTTTACTATATAATACTTTACTATAACTGTATCATTTGCTATAATCTCGACTATAACCAGATAATCCTCTAGTAATTAATTAGTGAGCTCTCTCCTACTATGCTATACTTTACTATAACTATATTATTTACTATAACCTCGACTATAACATCTAATAATTAATTGGTGAGTCCTCTCTCTACTATACTACACTTTGCTATAACTATATTACTTACTGTAACCTCGACTATAATCAGTTAATCCTCTAATAATTAGTGAGTCCTCTCTTTACTATATAATACTTTACTATAACTATATTATTTACTATGACCTTTGATAATTAATTAGTGAGTCCTCCCTCTACTATACCATACTTTGCTATAACTATATTATTTACTGTAACCCCGACTGTAACCAGTCAATCCTCTAATAATTAGTGAGTCCTCTCTCTACTATATGATACTTTACTATAACTGTATCATTTGCTCTAATCTCGACTACAACCAGTTAATCCTCTAATAATTAATTGGTGAGCCCTCTCTTTACTCTGCTATACTTTACTATAACTATATTATTTACTGTAACCTCGACTGTAACCAGTTAATCCTCTAATAATTAGTGAGTCCTCTCTTTACTATATAATACTTTACTATAACTATATTATTTACTATGACCTTTGATATTTAATTAGTGAGTCCTTCCTCTACTATACCATACTTTGCTATAACTATATTATTTACTATAACCTCGACTATAACCAGTTAATCCTCTAATAATTAGTGAGTACTTTCTCTAATACACTGTATAATACTTTACTATAACTATATTTATAATAATACTTTACTTTACTATACTATAACCTCGACCATAACCAGTCAATTCTATAATAATTAATTGGTGAGTCCTCTCTAATTGAATTCAACCTCTCTAATTAAATATGTAGAAGTAATGAGCAATGTTTTGTCCGTTTCGTAGCACTTTGCGCCGAGGATGAATTTCTGTGCAGGAAAAACAGGGCTTGCATTCCAATGGCGAAGAAATGCGACGGAAAGTTCGACTGTTACTACAAAGAGGACGAGCTCGACTGCTGTGAGAGTCTTTCAACTTTAACGTCGTCTAGACAGTTTATTTTACTCATGTTTCATTGTATTTTTTTTTTTCTCCTTCATTTTTCTTTATCGTGAGTTTCTCGACTTCAACGGTGTTCAACTTTTTCTTTCTCTTCTTCGTTAGACAGAAGAGTTTTTCTTCTCCTTCATTTTTCTGCGAGTCTCTCAACTTGAACGCCGCTCCACTTTTCTCTTCTTCTTCATTAGACAGTTTATTTCATTCGTGTCTCATCGTGTGTCGTTCATTCTTTTTTATCCTGAGTCTTTAAACTTCAACTATCTTCTCTCTGCTTCGTTAGACAGTTTATTTCATTCCTGTGTTTATCACATTTCTTTGTTGCGTATTTTAGTCACTTTTGCATATGTTTCTATCCTTTCGTTTTATTCGTTCTTCCACGCAGTCACGCTTACCGACGACCAGCGCGTGTATCTGGACGGCGACGGCCTGCCATTTTTAAACGAGCAAGGATATGTGACCAAGTACTACCCAGACGGGAATTGGAAAACGACCTGCCACCGTCCGAAAGTTCATCATCCACGAAATCAGTCCACGGTAGTGCTCATCGGTGAAAATATATGTATATATTTTGGTTTCAAGTAAGTATATCTTCTCGATTAGTTTACTTTTCAGTCGGAACGAGAACAGATTGTTCGTTTCTCCTTTAAAGAAACCATCAGTCGTCGGAGTCGGTCGACGTGAGGAATTCGAAGCTGGAAACGATAGTGTGGCAGAAAGGGAAGCCTACGTACCAGGTAGTAGAGTACTCGTCAGCGGCCTCTCTGAACCAGCACGACAAAACAACCTGTCCGGGGCTGTATGTTCACTGTTCGCCGACGCTCGGCGGCAGCATGTTCGCGCATTTGGTTACAGACGCGAGTACCGGAAGTCGCGACTACCTGTGGCCGTGGTTGGCCGCCATCTTTGTCGACGGACGCCACCGCTGCGTGGCGCTGCTTCTAGACCCAAACTGGTTGCTATCCGCCGCGAAATGCCTCGAGAATACCAGGTGATTCTTTTCGTTAATTCATGTTTTTTTTTTTCGTTGATATATATTATTAATATATATTAATTTATGTTAATAGTTATATATATTATATATTATTAATATATATATTAATATATATTAATATATTATTCACGACTCGTTATTTCTCGAAATATATAATATATTAATTATATTATATTAATTATATTATATTAAATATATATTATATTAATATTATATTATATATATTAATATATATTAATATATTATTCACGACTCGTTATTTCTCGAAATATATAATATATTAATTATATTATATTAAATATAATATATTAATATATTATAATTATAACATAATTATTAATTATAATATATTAAATATATATCATATTAATTATATTATATTAAATATATATTATATTAATATATTATTCACGACTCGTTATTTCTCGAAATTAAGGGGGGTATTCTGGCGTGGACTGTTGAAGAAAATCGATTTTTTTCTTTTTCGCATATTCTTAAAGGACATAGTTTCAAAAATCAATCTCTGTAACCTTACGTGTGAACTCCTAAAATGAAGTTGTGGTTGTTTGAAGGACGCGACGAGCCAGGGTCATTGTCACCGCAATACTAAACTTTAAAGGCATTTTTCTGGAAACTATGCTTTTCAGAACGGTGTCCATGATATCTCGAAATCTACTTGACCAATTGACTCAAAATCTTAAGTACGCATTTAGTACACTGTGTGACTATAGCCTCTATCAGAATCAACCAAAAAATTTTATTTTTTGTATTCTTTTAGGCCTCCGAAGTCTAACAAAAACATGCAAAAATCGATAATCGAACTTCAAAGTATCGCCGATTTTTTAATTACCAACTTTTTTCTTTTGTTTTTGTACCTGCTATAGCCAAACTCATATTAATTAAGGAACATTCGCGTTTTCTTATTCTCGACAAGCAGAATGGACACCATGAGACGATCTTTTTTAAAAGCAACTATGTTTCAGAGTATGCAGTGCCACTAATTTTAATTTTTCTTATCCCAAGAAATTTTGAAGCGTCGTTGAAATACGTACAAATAAATCTTGTTAATTTGATTGCAAAAGGTATAATAGTTTCTTTGCAAAAAATTCCCCAACAAAGTTAAAAGAAACACGCACTTTACACTAGAATACACCCTTAATACCACTCGACTAATATTGAACTGAAATCAGGTTAGATGCGAATTACGTGACAGCCGTTCTCGGTTTCGGTCGCTCGTTCCGTCACCTAGACGGCCCTCATCAACAGATCTCGATCGTCGACGAGCTGCATCCTGTGAACAACTCAGTGGCCGTTTTGTTGCACCTGAAAGAACGAGTCCGCTTCAGCCGTTACGTGCGACCGTTGTTCGTCAACAAAACGTGAGTAATGAAATCTTGATGAACCGGTGTTTGTTCGATCCGAAACGTGTGTAATGAAAAAAATTCTGATGATTTGATATTTGTAGGATTTATCCGGCAGGGGCGATGGATACCTGCGTGGCCGTTGGAACGAGCGACGATCACGAGATGAAGTCAGCTTTCGTGAGGCCTGTTCTACAGAATTGCCCAAGCTGTCAACGATGCTTCGCCAGTCGAATCTCGAGTTCCGAGTGTTGGGTGAGTCTGTACTACGTGGAGATTTTTTTTTAGCCACGCTCCAGAAGTTCAGAGAAATTTCTGAAGATTACTCCGTATTGTGTTAAGAGAAATTTCAACAGACGTTGTTTCTGGGAAACAATGGTGTCTCTGAGACGTTAATATCGTATACAAAGATCTATAAACAATCATTTTTCTACATTCTTGATATGTCTCTTATATCGAATGTTCGAAGTTATCGCTGGTCAACGAATAAATATTCGATTCACTTATTACAGGGGAACGAAACGTCGAATTGGAGCGGCACGATATTCTGCCGTAGCAGAAAGGGATGGTATCCGGCCTCTGTCTTCCAGCATGACAGAGAGATTTGTAATTTCGAAAGTGTGCGAAACACGACGAGCATCGAACACGTGAATCCCTATCTGACGCAAGCAATCGGTAAGTTCTTCTACTCACCGTGGAGTGCGGAATGAGGCCACGAAAATAATTCCTCGCAAATTGTCATGAAATGTAAGATGGCCCGAGACACTCGGTGGAGCCGACGGTTTGCAACGGTTTTCGGTGCAACGTTGGACAGTGCATCCCGCAAAGTCGGGTATGCGACGGTGTTCCGGACTGTCGGGGCCGCGAGGACGAGGATTCGAATTACTGCGGACCGCTTCGAGAGAACTGCGAACACAGCGTCGACGGTTGTGGTAAGAGAAATTTACTTGGATTTGGATCGTTGGAAATTCTAGATTTAAGATGCTTGATCGTTTGAATTTAAGTGGAAAATTTGGAGTTGGATGTGAAAGAAGATTATCTCTAATATCTAATTAGTAGTATGTAATAATTAATGATAATATCTAATTATATATTCTTATATATATAATTAGATATTATCACTAATTAGAATATAGTTATATTATTCTAATTAATTATAGAATATAGAATATATGTATATATTCTATATTCTAATCATTAATTAGAATAATATAACTATATTAATTAATGATAGAATATATACATATATTTTTTATATTCCATCATTAATTAATATAGATATATTATTCTAATTAATGATTAGAATATAGAATATATATATATATATATATATATATATTCTAATTTATTCTAATTATATATATATTTTTTGTATATTTTAACATAAATAATATGTACTTTTTCCAATTTGAAGATAATTGCCAGTTATAATTAACGATAATATCTAATTATATATTTTGTACAATGTGCATTTTTATTGTACCTAAAAATACGTATGCTCTCAATTTGAAGATAATTTCCAGTTATAATTATAATGTCTAATCATTAACGATAATATCTAATTATATATTTTATATAATATGCATTTTTATTGTACCTAAAAATACGTATGTTCTCAAGTATCTAATTCCAAGTTCTCCCAGTATCTAATTAATAATGATAATATCTAATTGTACAATTTCTAACATAGTTTCTTTCTACCTATTTCTTTCTTTCTTTTCTTTTTACACGAGACATCAAAATATAAGGAAAAAGAAAAATTAGAAAGAATGTATAACAGAGAAAAAATATAAAAATAAAAAAATATATAATAGAGAGAGAAAGAATATATAGTAAAAATAGTTATGGATTTATCTTAATAACGAGGTGACTTTTGGCCCACCCTATGTACATATTTCTTTCCGTATTTGCGCATTGTAACCTAGTAAACGTAACAAATGTATTTTCCTCGATTCGAAGTTTGCACGAAGACGGAGCTTCGCTGCAGGAACGGCAAATGCGTGGACAAAAGTGCGTTTTGCGACGGGAACGTCGATTGTCCGGACGGATCTGACGAGCCTACGATATGCACCTGCGCGGAGTACCTGAAATTAACGTCTCCGGAACGATTGTGCGACGGCGTGCGCCATTGTCTGGACAAAACTGACGAATCGCCGGAGATGTGCCCATGCAGGGATTCCAGCTTCAAATGCAAAACGTAAGGGGAATTAAACTTTTTCAGGCCATCGTCGTTCAATTCCGCTATAATTAAATAATAATAAATTCTCTCTAATAATAAATCGAAATCTTCAATTAACAGAACAACTGGAAACAATACGTGCATACCGCAAGATTTCATCTGCGACGGGCTGAAAGATTGTTCTGACGGCGAGGACGAGGCAACGTGCCGAGTGTTGATACCGTCTTCGAACGACAGGTATCTTTTTTTATGTTGTATTATATTTGTTATATTTATATATTATATTTTATATATTTTATATTATATTTATATATTATATTTTATATATTTTATATTATATTTATATATTATATTTTATATATTTTATATTATATTTTATATTATATTTATATATTATATTTTATATATTTTATATTATATTTATATATTATATTTTATATATTTTATTTTATATTTATATATTATATATTTTTATATTTTTTTTATATTATATTATATTTATTTATATTATATCTGGTCACCTAAGACTAAAAGTTGAAATATTTTCGAAAGGGCTATTAATTGACGTGATTTTATGTGTTTTATAACTTTGATAAATTTTTCTTTGTTTTATAACTTTGATAGATTTCTCAAAGGTTTTTTTTCTTAGCGAAATTGTGTATTTGTTCTCTATAAAGAAAGAATATTAGGCTGTGTATTATATAATATAGATATATAAAATAGATTATATAAATATATCTAAATATATATAAAATAGATATATTTAAAATAATATATATAAAATTTATATAAAATAGATATATTATATATATATATAAATATATATAAAATAATATATATAAAATTTATATAAAATAGATATATTTTATATATATATAAATATATATAAAATAATATATATAAAATATATATAAAATAGATTATATAAATAACAGAATATTAGGCTTCGTATTATATATAAAAGAACATTGATTCAGGAAATATTAAAGTGCGACAAATGCACTGTTCAGTTTCTTTACTAAATTATGCCTCAATATTAATTATTAACGCTTGTAAAACGTTTTCACACAAACGATAATCAGTCGTATTTAGGAAATATCTTCTAAAAGCTTCGAGTCTATGTTCTCTATTCTCGTATCCTTTGATCCTCGAACGAAAAGCAAACGTTCAACGAGAAGATCTAAGGAGAACGCGGTGTCATCGATTTCAATATCAATTTCAGGAACAATTCCGGAGAGGTGTTCCGTCGAAGTTATGGCGTCTGGCACACCGAGTGCTTCCCGAATCCCGTCGTGCACGAGGAAGACTCGGCGAGCCTGTGCAAATCTATGGGATACAGTTCGGGAACCGTCGACAACGTTACGATGATCGCTGACGAACCAAGAATCCCGAAGCAAGACGAATTTCACATAGTGAAGCTGAATCAATGGTCGTGGATGGCACTGAGAAACGACAAGCCGTTGATAACGTTGGAGAAATCGAACGGCATTTGCCATCGTGCGTTCGTCACTTGCTTCTAACTAATTTAATCAAGCATTATTATTAACGCGTGGATAATTTATTCAGGGTTGTCCAAAACTCTCTCTCTCTCTCTCTCTCTCTCTTTCTCGTATTTATTTTATTTTTAATTTATTATCACGGCGTATTTGTTGCGTATCGGAGAAGAAACGGAAGGATAATGTTGTAAAATAGCTGTTTTAAATAAAAGATTAAAATTTCGAACGAGACTATTTTAAATGAGAGTGTAAAAACAGTTGAGTGAATAGAGATGTTGTGTTTGTATTTATTTAATATTACAATGTGTTATATATATATATATGTAATAATTATATAATATTACAAATTACAGACTATTTTAAATGAGAGTGTAAACAGTTGAGCGAATAGAGAGTGCAGAAAAGTGTTTGTAATATTTATATAATATTACAAATGTGTTTTATATATATATATATATATATATATATATATATATATATATATATATATATATATAATATTTGTATAATATTACAAATTACAGACTATTTTAAATGAGACTGTAAGCAGTTGAGTGAATAGAGAGTGCAGATGTTGCGTTTGTAATATTTATGTAGTATTACAAATGTATTATATATATATGTAATATTTATATAATATTACAAATTACAGACTATTTTAAATGAGGGTGTAAACAGTTGAGTGAATGGAGAGTGTAGAGATCTTGTGTTTGTAATATTACAAATATATATATATGTGTGTGTGTGTGTGTAATATTCATATAACATTACAAATTACGCATTATGCAATGTTTGTTTGTAATATTTATCAATCTCTAGAAATTAAGAAAGCCGCCTTCTCTGAACAAAGAAGGAAGAAAAAAAAGAGAGGAAGGAAAACTGGAGGTATCGAATTATGTTGACTGTCGGAAAGAGGGAGTGTGAAGATATTCCAAACGTTGTATTAGTAATACTCAGTCAGCGTTCGAGGGGACTCTACGATCCATCGATTTCCCATCCAGCGATTAAGAAAGCTAGTTTAGATGCTTGCACAAGTATCTGAACTCTCTTTCTCTCTCTCTCTCTTTCTCTCAGGAAAGAAAGAAAGGAGAGAACTGGAAGAAAAAGGAAAAAAAGAAAAAGAAAAAGAAAAAGAAAAAGAAAAAGGAAAGCGACGTTGCGTGGAGGCAAAAGTATTGAATTATGTTGGTCGGTTGGAGGAAGGGGGTGGGACGAGCGAAGGGGAGGAAGGAATGCCACAAACGGGGTCGCAATCGCTGAAGGTAAACGACTAAACTCTGGTGAACTGCCTTCGTCGAGTATCCAGCGTGGTGGCGGGAGGAGGGGAGGGAGAGGAAACGCTCGCCCATTCACATTCTACGGCTGACTAATCCGTACGGTTGTCAGGAACGTGATTCCTGCGACCTGACGTGACACTCTCTGCCATGACGCTGCATTCGCAGCGAGATTGTTCGACCCTTTTACAACTACCGATCCAGGTAATTGATATCTTCGATGGCCGATGAAGTTGTAGAATAATACGCGTGCAACTAACAAGGGAACCCATAGCAACCGGCAATAGAAAACCACCCTCCATTCGTACACCCACGTACTCTTAACTACGTGTCTTGTAAAGCCGTGTAAAAATCAGGCACCGTAGTATGCTGGAATTCCTGGAGACATAGAAAAAGATTAGAACCTGTTCGCGTCGAAAAATCGTGGAAAATCCTGCGCCAGCAAAGTGTTTCGAGGTTGTAGCGTCGTCCGGGAACAACGCAGGTAGTGCAGTGATCTCGGAATCGCATTACATGCTTCCTCGGACGTCGATTCAGCGCGGCGAGTGGTAAAAAGAAGGGGAGGGGGAAAAGTGGAAACGAAGGAAACAAAGCGAGGAATGCAAAACGTTATCGCGAATGCAATACGAATAATAACTGTACCCGGAATATATCAGTTGATAGAAATTCTTGGGGAAAGAACGGAACAACATCGTGTCTCTTTGATATTTTTCTTCTTTCCTTTTTTCCTTTCGGTCGAAGACATCTCGAAAGAGAAGCGAAAAGCCACGCCGGTTTAAACGAAAGGTTTGCAGAAGGAAGCGTCTTAGGCGGTGAAGCGAGCAGAGTCAACGGTACTTCTTGAAACGAAATGAACACGTACCACTACTCGCAGCATGCGCCGCGTTGATTACACAATCAACTTGTTGCTGATCGGACAATAGTTATTTTGTATAATAATTGTTGTTATTGGAAGGCGATTGCTCCTAATATTTAATGTTCTCTCGCTGTTGGGTCACGTTTGAACAGAGTTTGAACAAATGAGTTTTGAAGTTCAAAAAATTATATATATACAGAGAGAGAAAGATTATTAAGATATATAAGAAAATGATTATTAAGATAATTTAGATTAATATATTTTAAGATAATATATTATCTTAATATATTGTAATGTAAGATACTATAATTATATTATAATTAATTATTACCTTAATGTATTATAATGTTAAAAGATAATATATTATAAAACATTATAAGATACTGTAAGATATTATAATATATTAAAAATAATTAATATCTTAATATATTGTAATGTAAGAAGACAATTATATTATAAGACAATAGATAATTATAATTAAGATATTATAAGACAATATGTTATCTTAATATGCTATAATGCAAGAAGATAATATATTATAAAATATTATAATAAACATATCATAATTAATTAATATCTTAATATATTGTAATATAAGATATTATAAGATATTATAATATATTAAAAATAATCAATATCTTAATATATTGTAATGTAAGAAGACAATTATATTATAAGACAATAGATAATTATAATTAAGATATTATAAGACAATATGTTATCTTAATATGTTATAATGCAAGAAGACGATATATTATAAAATATTATAATAAACATATCATAATTAATTAATATCTTAATATATTGTAATATAAGATATTGTAAGATATTATAATATATTAAAAATAATCAATATCTTAATATATTGTAATGTAAGAAGACAATTATATTATAAGACAATAGATAATTATAATTAAGATATTATAAGACAATATGTTATCTTAATATGCTATAATGCAAGAAGACGATATATTATAAAATATTATAATAAACATATCATAATTAATTAATATCTTAATATATTGTAATATAAGATATTGTAAGATATTATAATATATTAAAAATAATCAATATCTTAATATATTGTAATGTAAGAAGACAATTATATTATAAGGCAATAGATAATTATAATTAAGATATTATAAGACAATATATTATCTTAATATGTTATAATGCAAGAAGATGATATGTTATAAAATATTAAATATAATAAACATATCATAATTAATTAATATCTTAATATATTGTAATATAAGGTATTGTAATATATTAAAAATAATTAATATCTTGATTTATTGTAACGTAAGAAGATAATTATATTATAAGGCAATAGATAATTATAATTAACATACTATTAGAATAATAATATATCTTAATATATTAGAATGCAAGAATATAATATATTATGAGATAATGTCAGATATTAATAATACATTACAATTAATATAACATTTTAATATTTCAATATGTTACAATATAAAAAGATAGTATGTATTAATAATATTTTAATACATTATAATATAAGAAGATAATATACTACAAGATAATAGACAATAGATAGTTAATTTATCAAAAATTATTAATCACGAAGGATCTCTGAGAAGTGACAGTGCCTGGCGGTGATGCAAGCTGATACGCGGAACAGGGTTAATTGTTTCGAGGGAACGAGGAAACTGTTGCATTTTAATAACTCTCTCGTTCGCTGGAAGCGCCGGATCCTCGTAGAAAACGAAACGTTCGCGTCGCGGAAACCGCTCGAAAGGTATCAGCTTCGAGAAGGAAAAGCTTTCGTTTTCCCGTCATTTAACTTCGATGTAGTCTACATAGACCAGATTGGGAAAAAAAAGGGGGCGATGAAAATTAACTGGCACGAGTTTGAGTAATCCCTGCGAATCCCGGATCAGACCTCGAGGAAATTTCAATTGGAATAAGGTCCATTTAAATTATATAACCAGTCTGTGTAATTTTAGTGCACGTGGCCTCCTTCATTTTTCTTTTTTTTTTTTTTTTTTCTCGTGAATCGATTTCTATAAATTCTCAAGAGTATCTTTCGTTAAGAAGGGAAGAAGACGTCTTAAGCGTGGATCAAGCTGAGTGAAAGCAGACGTCTCTCGAAGAAAAATGCGCGTAGGATGCGATTAATCATCCGTGGATTTGCAACGCGAATGCAAATATACAACGAGTTACGTGAACGTTTCTATCGAAGCCTTTACTAGGAAGAAGAAAGCCTACTCGAAGTGTTATATATTATGCAACAACTCCAAAGATGTCCATGTATTTATCATAGGGTTTACGTATTAATTAATTGCATCTAAGATCATTTGTACAGTGAGAGAAAGGAACAGGGAATGTCCATTTTTTGTTCTTTCAATACATTTTGTGTTGTTGTTCTTTCAATACCAAAAAAAAAAAAAAAAAGAAAACTTATCAATGAGATTGTGCATTTGCCTTTTTCTAAAACAAGCTTCAAATCAGATTGTAAGATTATGCGTACACGGTGGATTTGCGATTTGAAATGAAGTTAGCTACACTCCAAGATATACACATAAATCTATTTAATTAGGACAATTACTTTAGAAAGAAAGAAAATACCTTTGGATATATTACTTTCTGCCCAATCAGAACGAAACTGATAATAAAAAAAGGCGCTTTGTCGGAAGATAAGATTACATGAAAATAACCTCTGACCAAATGTATGCAGACAATATTCTAAAAAGCCATTTTTAGCCAATTTCCAGAGTGTCATAAAATTGAACGTTTGACCCTGCATCCTTAGAGTATAAATTTTTTCCCGTTGGAAAAACAATCGTTCGCGATCGATGATTATATGCAAGAAACTAAATTCCAAATCTAAGAGCATGCAAATGTATGCAAGTAATTTCCACGCTGCTTTCCACTTTTTAATTGAATTCCAGAGTATCGTAAAATCTGTCCCAATCGAGCTAGTCCTCTATTCTTACAATTAGAATACGCTTCCTCATCGTGGAGAAAACGATCGTTGGATGAAAAAAAATGCCGTGCACGTGAAAAGCTTGCATATTTATATATCGACGGAGCGCACGTGAAATGGTTGACGGCGCGTGAAGGCAGCGAGCA